TTACTTAAGTCCTAACTAAAATACGTAAACTTAAATAAAAGTCCAACTGAAACAATAATAAAAGTCCAACTAAAATACTGAAACAATAATAAAAGTCCAACTATAATGATGTCCTCATCACATTGACTGTTTACTTTGCCATTTGATCATTCCATGATTCTACTGCAGATTATCTTCACAAATGTTGGCAACCCTCATGCCTTAGGGCAAAAGCCTCTGACTTTTCCTCGACAGGTTTGTATAAATATTTATCAATATTTATGCATGTTGCATGTATCTTTCTTTTTATCATTTTTGATGTTGTAGTATGAATTCACTGTAAGAAAAAACGATGTTGCAGGTGGTTGCTCTCTGCCAAGCTCCATTTCTGCTGGATGATCCTAATGTGGAACTTGTATTTCCTGCCGATGCTATAGCAAGAGCTAAACATTATCTTTCACTGACATCAGGGGGTCTTGGTAATGTAACTCACTATCTCATTCTGTTTTTTGAGAAAATATAGAACCCCTGTAAAGTTGTACCATGAGAAATGGATGGACTTTTCATGATACCATTTTTCATTATTTTCTTTGCCACAAAGATCTCTTTATTAATTTACTTTCCCCATTCTCTCCATTGCTTCCAACATCAACTCCAGGACCCCAAAAATAAAAAAATAATACAGAGAGCGATATTAACTTATTTTGGTGGCTGGTTTTCCATTTCCAAGTCAGATATCTTGACTTTTGTTTTGGTCACTGGTTAAACAAACACAAAAATTTCAGTTTCAGAAAAAAAAATGTGAAGTTGCTAGGCTCTGCCACAATTATATACTCTCTCTCCATGAGTACTACTTCTATTCATTTATTTTGTAATAACTCTTCTGGGTGCATCAAATTACTAGCGCCACATACTTTAAACTTCCCAGTGGTTACATTCAGCAACTACTCAGGAACCTTGTCTGTAGATGTCCATTTTATTTAGGACTACTTTACCTGGTCTAAACCTTTCATTAAGATCTATCTATGCTGGTTAGACAATGAATTAGGGTTGTATTATAAGATTTGTCAGAGTTTAACGTTGGCTGTCAACCTACTGCTAGCCTCCTCCTTTCTCTAGTCTTGAGACACGCTATAAAAAATATATAGGCGGAGTTTTAGCAACTACTCAGGAACCTTGTCTGTAGATGTCCATTTTATTTAGGACTACTTTACCTGGTCTAAACCTTTCATTAAGATCTATCTATGCTGGTTAGACAATGAATTAGGGTTGTATTATAAGATTTGTCAGAGTTTAACGTTGGCTGTCAACCTACTGCTAGCCTCCTCCTTTCTCTAGTCTTGAGACACGCTATAAAAAATATATAGGCGGAGTTTGGTTGGACACTGTATTTATTAAATAAATAGAAAAAGAAGAAAAGATATTGGTACTTTGTTGTATTTGTATTCATTCTTCTTATTTTCAGTTTGATACCTTACTCTTGTCACTCACTATCTGTTGTAGGCCTTTGTAGTTGTTTTTATCTTGGATACATCTTCTCCACCACACATCATAGTACTGCTGTCAATTTTTCAGTTGTCCTGATCGATTTGGTTCCTAGCATTTTGATGCATCAGATATAGCTGAATTAACTGTTAACAATGAAATTTACTACTCAATTTTCAACAAGAGAATCATCAATATGCAGCAAAGACTATTTAACATGTACTTTCTACTTAATCAGGTGCCTACAGTGATGCACATGGCATTCCTGGAATAAGGAAAGAAGTGTCTGAGTTCATTGAGAGACGTGATGGATATCCAAGGTGACAATGATTAATTCGTATTGCGCATAGTTTGTACAAAAGTATTAGACCTTCATAAACACTACTGTAGGCAAAATTTTAGCTTCTTAATAAAAGTATTGTGCTTTCAAATCACCTTACTAAAGATGCTAATTATGTTTGAATTAGACTTGATAAGTTTTATGATGTTATACTAAGGGCTCATTTGACATGGTTTCTACTTTCGTTTTTGCTTCTTGTAGAAGAGT